AGATTCTCAGGATCATTGCCTTGCCCATGTTCTACATATAACTGTATGACTTGACATTGTCATGTTTCCTAGCTCTTCTCCTTCCCTCTCTTGATTAGTTAGTCCTTGAGATCCTGCTTTCCTTTTACTTGTATTATACCTTTCTATTTGTATTTCTTCTTTTGAGTTCTTATACTAGGGGAAACTATACGATATTTACACATGTGTGTCTGGTTTATTTCACTTATGAGTATATCTTTACCCTTTCAAAACCAACTCCTTTTTTTTTCCCCCAGTACCGGGGATTGAACTCTGGACCCTGCGCTTGCCAGGCAAGCACTTATTGTACTGAGCTATCTCCCCGGCCCTTTAAACACATTGTTATTCAAGTATGGTTGTGAGGGGAGACAATGTAAATCAGTTTAACAATAACCCACAACCGTTGGAACAACTCAAACCAACTCTTTGATGCATTATTTCTTGTATTATTTTCCTCCTCTCCATTGCATTAATTTCTACTCTGTTCTTTATAATTTCCTGACCTCTTTGGGATTTGGGCTTGACTTTCTCTTGTTTTTCTAGGAGCCTGAAGTGCAACGTAAGGTTGTTCATTTGAACTCATTCTGTTTTCCTGTTGTGAGAATTCACCACCTTAAATTTCCCTCTAAGACTGCTTTCGTTTCATCACACAGATTCTGGTAAGTTGTATGTGCATTTTTCTTTGATTGCACACATTGCTTAATTTCTCCTTTAGCTTCATTTCTGACCCATTGATTGTTCAGGATGGTGTTATTTAATTTCCGTGTGTTTTACGATTTCTTTTGTCAAGAATTTTCGATTTCAGCTGGGGAGACAGCTCAGTAGAATAAGTACTTCCCTGGCAAGTGCAAGGGCCTGAGTTCAATCCCCGGTTCCACCAGATTAAAATAATAATAATAATAATAATAATAATAATAATAATAATAATAAGTTTCAATTTCATTGCACTATGGTCAGATAATGTGCCATCTTTTAATTAAATTCTTAATTTCTTGGATATCTGTTTGAATCTGCATTCCAATTCTTTCCTGTATTGTTCATTCAATGTTTCCATCATTTTTCTACGCTCTTCCAATTTTTTGCAAGAGAGAGAGAGAGAGAGAGAGAGAGACAGACAGACAGACAGACAGACAGAGACAGAGAGAGAAAAGTAAAAGGGAAGCACTTCTCCCCAACTCATTCATGCAGGAAAGTATTCCTCTGTTACCACAACTAGACGAAGAACCAATGACAAAAGAGAACTATTA